AGAGAGAGAGAGAGAGCACGACACGGCTGTATCCTTACCTGGCCCTCCCAGATCCCTGAAGGCGCTACGTCTCCGGCTGTGACGGCGACACATGAAGACGACAACGATGACGATGACGAAGACGACGGCCACAGAGACACAGATGCCGATGTAGAGAGACACATCCTCGTCGTCGTCGGCTGTAGCTGTAGCTGTATGGACAGAACAAAAAAAACCCAACTCAATATACAGATCGCAAAGACAATATCGAACTGGGGTAGTATATTGTAACGTCCTCTGCCACTGTTGACGACCAGACAAATGTTTCCTTGCGAGATGAATAAAGATTACCATTGTCATTGTCATATACAATGTACTATGAGAAACCTAGAGGGAAAACATGGTGATGTCCAAATAATAACTGTTTTTTTTTTTCAAATCCAAACTCTGCAACACAATGATGACATAAAAAGATTGAATCTGTCTAAAAATAAAGGCGAGGAATATTTCAGGATTAGACAGCACACATATCTAAGAACTCAGCGCATGAAGAAACAAGAAGTCCGTGGATCTAAATGTTCGGTTAGAAGGTAAAAGTGATGTCACTGCTTTTCACATGAAGACGCGTTCACAGAAAACTCCTCATGTAGTAGATTCAGAGACGTGTTTCATTTTGAAAAATTTAAAGCACAAAATTTAAAATGCCAATGGCGCTCTCCTACCGCCCAAACACGATGGTTATTTCATCATAATATCTTGCGTGCTGAGTGTGCGTTTTTATAACCAAAGATTTATTGTACAACTTAAATTAACAAACATTTATATGATTGCTGTATTTTGTCATTTCCTATAACATTTCTGAACTCTTTTATACTTGTACGTTTCTCCTCCTCCTCGCACCCCTCCTCCGTTAAACCATTTTCTTGGTGGCAAATTCATATAAACAGATGTTGCATTATCAACGTTCTCTTTTCATTAACTCTTGAGATGTCAAAATTCTTCCTCAGTGTCATGATCAAAGGCCGCCTTCTTCTCTGTATCAACAAAAGCAGAAATCGCAACATGATTTTAATTCTGAGATGAAAGTAAACATAGAAGCGCAAAAACCGTTTGTTTTTCGTTAATTCTAATGAGAATTCAAGGGGAAATTTTATGTGATGCCTGTCCATGGAAATTACAGGTTGCTTGGAGAAAGGAGAAACGAAATGTAAGAAGAAATATGGGGTCGCCAAAAGAGAAAAAGGGAGGGAGGGAGAGAGAGAGAGAGAGAGAGAGAGAGAGAGAGAGAGAGAGAGAGAGAGAGAGAGAGAGAGAGAGAGAAAGAAAGAGAGAGAAAGAAAGAGGGAGATGTACACACATACATACCACCACCACAGCTGTCCCCAGCGTAGATGCAAAGAGCGAAGCAGAGGATACTGTATCCGTCTTGTAGGGGAACTGGATACTTTCGTCATTGCAGTAAAACCCGCGCTGATGTACGGGGACCAGGTAGTGGACAGCGCTCAAAGCAGCAACACCTGTTTGTTTGATTGTTTGTTAGTTTGTCAGTTAGTTTATTTGTTTGTTTATTTGTTTGTTTGTTTGATGGAACGTGAATGGAGGAGGAAGAAAGGAGAGGGGGGCGAAATTTGTTGGAAGTGGGTCAGTGGTTGCTGGAAAAATATGGAGAAGGCAGCGGAGATGGTTTTAACAAAAGAGAGAGAGAGAGAGAGAGAGAGAGAGAGAGAGAGAGAGAGAGAG